CTAACCTAGGAAAAAAGAAATCCCAAGATGAGAATTGTGCAGTAGCTCAAAAATTAATTAACCAGTAAGTTCCAAGTAAAAGGCTTCCAGAGAATAATGGAATATATGCTAGGCAGTAAGTATAAAGACTAAAGAACTAGATAATACTTAGGAAATAATTTTTTTTCTCAATAAGAAAAAAATTGAAGTAATTAGATATTCCAGAAAAATCCATTTTAGAAAGAAACACATGGTCTAAATACAAAGCAAACTAAAACATGACTTTATTTTGAATTACTGGTAGATTGATATTAGGAACTTTTTCCTTGGAATAGTGTAAAGATTGAAACTATAGATAAGGATATGTGATTAGAAAACACTAAAAATAAAAAGTTCTGTATCAAAAATAAATTTTTTGATATAGAAGAATTAGAACAAATAGAATTAAAGTGTGGCTTTTGAATAGTGGGATTTTTTTTTAAGCTTGTTTATACATTCATATTTTACTTTAAAAAAATGTAACATTAAGCAAAATAAGAATAAAGACATGGATTACTAAAATTAGAGGATAAAAATGTGATGAAGAACAGAATATTTACCTAGTTTTGAAATACCTGCTCACAAATTTCTTATTAATTGCCAAAGGAGAATAGTAACTTTAGTGAAGAACGCTGACAGACAGCACCTTGATCAAGTGAGCAAAGTGAACATGGCCCGTGCAGTTTCAATAGGAAGCAAAGCAAAACAGGAAAGGAAGTAAAAACACGAAACAGAAATCCTCAATAAGGGTATATATATATATCACTCTGCTAGCCCTTAAATGTAGAAGAGCGTCCATTTCGACCGTCTTCTCAGTTTTGATTCATCAACCAACATCTTTCACAGTTTCATAAACAGCCACTTATATTCATGATTCTTCAAGCACTAATTTCCAGACAATAATATTTCTGAGTTATTTTTCCCAAATGCCAAGTAGGTATAGTATTTCTTCAGATACCTCACCTTGATTATGTCAAAATCATTCTCTTCATCTTTCTTTCCAGTCCAGAACTCCTCCATCATTCCCTTTCTCAGCTAGTAACATTTATATATACCTCTACTCAAAACAGAAAACTCAGTCATCTTCAACTACTTCTTTTTCTTTATCCCACATCTATTTCAATTCTATTTTAGTTTTAAAAGTATAACTAAATACCTACAACAACAACAACAACTATGTACTATGTATCATATTAGATGTTAAAGAAGGTTGTTGTTATGTGCTGTGGTGTCAGTTCTGACTCACAGTGACCCTGTACAGGGTTTCCAAGGCTGTAAATCTGTAAGGGAGCAGAAACCCTCATCTTTCTCTGGCAGAACAGCTGGTAGTTTCGAACTGCTGACTGTGAGATTAGCAGCCCAATTCGTAACCACTACGCTACCAGAGTTCCTTAAATATGACACAAATCCTCTAAATGTAACACTAAATGTGATTCAAATTCATTCTAAATTCTCCTTTCTTGGTACTATTGTCTTTTATCAAACCAAACCCAACCCACTGATGTCTAGTCAATTTCCAAATCATAGAGCCCCTAAAGGATAGGGTAGAATGTTCCATAGGGTTTCAGGGCTGTAAATCTTTCTAGAAGCAGACTGCCTTATCTTTCTCCCATGTTATTTCCTACATGTTTAAATTCATCTTCTATCTCTAATCATTCCTCTTCCCTCAAATTCTACAGTGGAACTAATCCTCCCTGCCCCCAAACATATATCTGTTCATTTCACCAACCTGTTTTAACTATCAATTGCATTATTAGTGCTAGTATGAGACTTAAAGAACTTGATAAATGGCAGTGTTGCTGTTAGTAGCCAAGGAGTCAATTCAGACTCATGGTGATCCCATGTGTGCAGAGTGGAAACTGCTCCATGGAGATTTCAATGTTGTGATCTTTTGGAAGCAGATCAGCAGGTCTCTCTTACATAGCATCTCTGGATGAGTTTGAATTGTCAACCTTTCACTCATCATCAAGTGTTTAACCATTTTTTGCCACCCAGGAACAGCAATTTTCCATGATAAATAACAAGTGGCACATTAGCATAGTAGACAATTTAAAGCCCAGATTTATTTTGGATGCATTTATTAGAAAAGATAAATCTGTTTTGTATATGAAGTCCTAGCACCACTTATAAAAAGTTTAAAAAAAAAAAACTGTGCAGTGTATGCCACGAAACTGAATGCATATAAATTGTTGAATAGAAAACCAAATTGCTCTAAACCTTCAGCCAAATCACAATTAAAAGTTAAAGTTAAAAATGAGTAATCAATGTAGTTTATCCAAAGTGTCTATTTGTAGGACTTAAATCTACTAATATCTAAGTAATTATTTTGTTGGATTTTTTTATTTCAGTTATAGTAGATGTATAATCTGAGCATATTTTACTACATCAACATCGATATCTTAGGCATTAGTGAGCTGAAATGGACTGGTATTGGCCATTTTGAATCTGACAACCACATGGTTTA